TCTGTCGAGAGATAGCCAGAATGGCTGTTTCTTCCATCTAGTCGGAGGGAGAGTGTTGGTTTTCCTCCTAGTGGAGAAACCAATTTGGGTTTGGTTTAAGAAGAACCAAATTTGGGCCTATTATGATCCATGATATTGTTATTGGGTTAAGGGCTATGAGGGAGTATATATATGACTCCAAAATCTAATTTTGGTAAAGAAAGAAACAAACTGAAGAGAAGCAATTTTCGTAGGAAAAAAACAGTTTCGTCAAGGTTTGTTCAAGAGAACGTTTGGAGGCTTAAACGTGCTCCGATTTAGCTGAAATTTTTGGGTTAGCTTCGTGACTCAGTCGTCTTAATATTCAACAGTGGAGATTGTATTTCAACGGTTGGTTAGTCGCAGATCTGGGTTCGAGGCTGTTCGTTGCAGTTGCGAGTTCAGATTTCAGACTGTGTTTTCTTGAGTGTTTGAGATATCCGACGGTGAATTCTTCTTAGATTGAGCTGAAATTTTGCAGAGGTATTCCTGACTTGTTGATCTAGGATTTGTACGGTAGAGATCTGATTTGGTGACCGGAATCCTAGAAAATTTAGGGTCTTTTGGGACTGCTTGTTTCTAGGCTCTTGTATTGCTCTCTTGTGGTGTTTCTTGTGTGGAGATTGCTCTTTGGAGCCTTAGTCTCTGGATATGTTCTGTGGGAATAGGGAGGACGTGGTTGTAACTCAAATATGATATAGTGGATTTTTGAGTGGACTACGGTCTCGTGGTTTTTACTCCTCACATCGAGGAGATTTTCCACGTAAAATAGTTCGTTGTCTCATTTACTTTACTGCTTTGATTTGCTACTGCCGTATTCTATTTTTTTCTCACAGGTTCACATAAGTGTGAGGAAATTTATTCCGCTGCGCCATTGGTGCTTATTGTTTGTCCCAAACATGTTGGGCATTAAGGATATAGTAAGGTTTCACCGAATATAGGCGACTTTCAATCCAATATCTTTTGGAAGACATTATGTTTGAGCGTAAAACTTCTCATTCCACCCGGTGTTGTTAGCTTAACATCCGTACCAACTAAAGGAAAAAAAATAAGGAAACTCCCAAGGAGATGACTAATTTAACTTGTTATGGTCTTTACCCTGAAGAGACTATGGGCCATGTCCGGAGCTTCTTCCAAAAGCAATAAATTAAAATTTTATATCAAAAAGGATAATTGCATTCTAGAGTCACATTTTGTCTTTTTTAGGAGTCATTAAAGGAAGGTTTTGAAACATGGAGGCCCAGATTATAAAGGATAAACAAAACATAAGTGGTTTTGAGATACGTGGATCTGTTGTGGTCTATCATACAAGCAGCATAAACAGCTACTTAGGGCCCAAAAACAAATCGTCTCCATTTGGTTCGGGTTTGATTAGGTTTCGTCTAAAAACTAGACCAGCTGGCAGCTTGAATATGATGATTATGAAACTGTAAAGGCGACATAGAATTGTTGGATCAATTTTGGAATTATTATGAAAGAAGTGATTATTCATCAAGACCTTGACACTAAGTTTATCAAGATCATACACAAGTGTCTACTTGCTAAGCTTGACACAAACTTAACACTAATCATGGTTTATCTATTTCCAAGTGTCTCTAATGTGCCACTAATCAATCCTCATGTACAAATGTCTTTTGGTTATGTACTCTTCTTCTACTATATATATGTGTATAGAAGAAGCAAAGGAGAAGGACACATGAATAAGAAACAAGCATTTCAAATCTCTTTTATAAGCTCTACTCTTCTTTGTTTCTTATTGTTCAAGAACAGTTACATATATTTTGTATCTAGATCATATAAGCATAAACACATATACCTCCAT